AGGGAAGGAAGGAAGGAGGAAAGGAAGCAGGGAAGGAGAGAAGGAGGGAAGGGGAAGGAGGGAGGGAAGGAAGGAGGGAAGGAAGGAGGAAAGGGGGAAAGGAAGGAGAGAAGGAGAAAAGAAAGGGAAGGAAGGAAGGAGGAAAGGAAGCAGGGAAGGAGAGAAGGAGGGAAGGAGAGAAGGAGGGAAGGGGAAGGAGGGAGGGAAGGAAGGAGGGAAGGAAGGAGGAAAGGGGGAAAGGAAGGAGAGAAGGAGAAAAGAAAGGAGGGAAGGAAGGAAGGAAGGAAGGAAGGAGGGAAGAAAGGAGGGAAGGAGAGAAGGAGGGAAGGAGAGAAGGAGGGAAGGGGAAGGAGGGAGGGAAGGAAGGGGAGTAGGAGAGAAGAAACGAGGGAAGGAAAGAGGGAGGGAGGGATCCTTCAAGCCTAAATCCCAAGCGCCCTGTGGGGGAATCTAGCAGAGCCGAAAGGGATCCCTTTCCCACGACCCGGAAGGGATGCTTCAAAACAGCTCTTTAAATTAAACCAGGTCTACCTTACAAGGAGGGGTTTTTTTTGCTTACCACTTTGTTCTCGATGAGGTCGCACACCACTTTGTTGTTGAAATAATCAATGGGGCTCCATCGGATTCCCTCCTGGACGTATTCCTCCTGCAGAGAGGAAAGGGAGGAAGAGTTAAAAGAGGGAGAAATGGGCCCCAAAATTAAACATGAATCAAACACTCAGTTCAGCCTTGAACTTTCGGGCTCCGGGTTCTCCGATCTGACCCTCCTTCTTTCCCACTATTACAAAAAAAAAAAACATTTTTACAGCCGCCCAACTCCCCCCCACCACGGCCCCGTCCAAGCTTCATGGATTTTGGCCCAAAGGCGGGATTTTTAAAAATGCAAAACGTCTCCCCCGTTTGCACAAAATAAAATAAAAAATAAATAAAAGAGAGAGAGGGGGGGGGGTCTCACTTGCTCAGCCTTCAGGGTCAACTCGATGAAAATCTGCTGGAGTTTCTCGTTCACAAAATTGATGCAGAATTGCTCGAAGCCGTTTTTCTGGCAGGAAAAGAGAAGCAGAAACTGAACCCCTGAATTGCCCGCAAGGTTGCAAAACGTTTGGCATCGCATTTATTGGGCGATTCCTTCCAGGTTTTGCCAGGGGAGCTCAGGATCCGCTTCCCGGGGGCCGTTCACTCACTCCGGCCGCCTACGAAATTCTGCACTGGATCATTTCCGAGGCTCAAAGCGGCCCTTCCATATTCTCAGCCGTGAAGCGTTTGACACCCCGCACCAAGAGGGGGTGAAATAATGACCTCCGAAACCTACTGCGAGGAGACTCCCTTCCAAAGGGCCTTTGTTCCCCTTGCTAAAACGCAGAAGGAATGGAATGCCTCTCCCGCCTCGCTCCCTGGGAAGAGGCCTCCCGTTTTTCCCACGCATCAGGGATATCTTTTCTCTCGAAAACCACCTTCGGCCCAGCCGGCCTGCTTTGCAACTGGTGGCAGCCGCGGGATCCATGCGGTTAATCCAACCCTCGTCTCCAACGGGCAGTTTGTGCCAGGGAAGAAGAGGCTGGCATGGGAAGAGGCCTCTCCTCCTTCTTCTTCACCTGGCGGGGAGAGCCAGGAATGGAGGATTTGGGGGCTTACCTGGAAGATTTCGAAGCCATAAATGTCAAGGACGCCAATGTTGTATTCCTGGTGCTGCTTCTCCATGGCTTTGTTGACAGCCTGGGAAAAGGAGGGGAAGAGAAAGCGGGCGGAGAGGAAGAGAGCAGGGAAAGACAGGAGAGAGGAAACGAAGAAAGGATGAGGAGTTGCCAAAAGCAGTTTGGATTCATTTTTATTTAAACGTCCCATTTCCCTCTTCTTACGGCCTTTGAGCTTTTCCTGGCTGGCTCTTGAGATCTGCCCCCCCCCCCAACACCCTCCCCGTCTCAACCCTCCACCTGGCTTCGGAAGCCCCACTCGGGATGCGTGGAGAGGTCTGGGCGGCCACTCACGTCCACCAGGAAGTCGAAGAGGCGGGCGTAGAGGGCCTTGCAAAGAGCATCGCGGGTGAAGTTGGCCTGTTCCACGTTGAGGGTGACGTCGATGACCTCCTGCCGGCCACCCCACTTGCCGTCCATCTTGCGGCTGGTCAGTTTCTCCTGCAGGCGCTGCTGGTCGATGGCCAGGAGGTAGGCGGGGAAGGCCAGGACTGCGGAGAGGGAACGACGGGGGGCAGCAGCAGCTCAACCGGCGGCTTCTTCCCTCCGGAGTCTCCCTGATTCCCACCCCAGTCCAGAGAACAACCCTCGTGGGTCACGCGGCCGTCGCTCAGTGGCCGTGGCCCCCCCCGCCCTGCCAACAGCACCAGAGGGAGAGCCCCCCCCCAAAAAAAACCCCTCTTCAGCTCTCGGCTGAAGTCCAGACTCACAATCCCTGCTTTCCACCACGGCGTAATTTCCCGACTCCTGGAAAGTGATGTTGCCAAGGTGCAGGATGCCAGCTACTATCTGGAGTACCAGGGCCTGCTCTTCCTCCGAGAGGCCAACCACCCCCATGGCTGCCTGGGGGAGGAGGAAGAAGAAGAGGAAGGAGGAGGAGGAGGAGGAAGAAGAGAAGGAGGAAGAGGAGGAAGAGGAGGAAGAAGGAAGAAGAGAGGAGAAGGAAGAGGAGGAGAAGGAAGAGGAGGAGGAGGAGGAGGAGAAGGAAGAGGAGGAGGAGGAGGAGGAGAAGGAAGGAGGAGCAGCAAGGTATCAGCTGTGGGTAAACAGGGCTCCCTGTGGCACAACAAGAACGAAGCTACCCCAGAAGCCCTGGGATCAGCCACCCTTCTACACCTGGCAGCTTATTTCAACAAACTTTGTTTTGAAAAGTGGACGTGCCAACTCCACCCACTCCCCAAAAGTACAATTTGGGGTCTTTTCTGCTGCTTAAAGGCCCAGTGCAGCCTGGGAGCTCCCCCCCCACAACTTGGTCGTTTTTCTGGGGAGGAAACGTCCGACTCGGTGATGCCCCAACCGTCTCTTTTTCCCTGGGGACCGAGCCGGCTCCATTGCCCAACCGAGGGTCCCTTCCCCCCCTGCCCCAGAGCCCCCCCGGGCCACTCCAGAGGAAAGAGGGGCTCGGAGTTAAATATTATAGGAGAAACATTCACGGCTGACCCAGGACGGTGCTTGTTTTTAAATCTTCGGCCTTCCAACCTCAAGGAGGGGAAGCCGAGCAGCCTGGCAGGACTACGATTCCACCGAGGAATTCGTTACAGGCAGGTGGCTAGGGATCATGGGGGATGTAGTCCAGGACGGCAGACCCAGAGGGTGGAGGCATGCTCCCCCCCCCCATCCACCCTCTCATCCTGGGTGTATTTCCCCCAAAAGTTGGGTGTGAAAGAGGAAACAGCCCTTTCAATGCCCTACCAGAGTTTCCTGGAAATCCTGCCGGTCATTCATGTCGTCCACCTTATAGGCCGCCGACTGGTTGAGGTAGTAGTAGTAATCCGGGCTGGTGATCCCCAGGTTCTCCCGTTGCTCCTGGCTGGCTCCCTCCAGCAGCTGCGTTCACACACAACGGGGGGGCCCAAAGAGGCGGTTTCAAAATGCCACGTCGGGAATTGCGCACAATTTCTGCTCTCTTGCTTTGCAGCAGAGTGCCCAGGACTGAAGTCGGGGATGATGGGGTTGGGAGTTAGACCCATGCAGAGGATCAAGGTCGGGGGTCGGGGGTCTGGGCTGGGCGTAGGGACCTCCCTCGGCCGCTCACCCACCTGGTAATAGATGTGGAAGTTTCTCTCTCCGGAATTCTGGCTGACCACGCGGGATTTTTCCAGCAGGAAGTTGTAGATTTTGCCCCCATCCGGCTCCCCACCGCGGCTGAACTGGATCTCAAAATATTTGCCCTGGGTGGGGGGAAATGGGGGGGTGTCTTAAATTTCCCCCTCCCCCCCCCCAGTTCCTCTCCGTTCCTTTTCTGGCCCACATCCACAATTTTCACCCACTCGCCTCAATTTCGTACCTAGTGATGGGCTTACATCAATAAAGCATTTATTTGTAAATGTTACCAGATTACACTAGGGAGCAGCACTCATCCAAGCTCCTCGGGATCAGGCCTGGAGATCCCGGAGAAGCATTTCAGATTGGACGGGCAGAAAAAAAAAGAAGATAAAACTTAAAAACAACTTTCACACCGTCCCTAAGAAAAACCCTGGGACACAAAGACCGAGTCACCAGGCGCAAGTCGTCCACACGTTGGATAGATTTAGGATCTGCCAGGCTGCCCCCCCCCCCAGCGCCCCCCACCAGCACTCACAAATCGGCTGGAATTGTTGTTCCGCACAGTCTTTGCGTTCCCAAAGGCCTCCAGGAGGGGGTTAGATTTGAGGATAATATCTTTCACATGCTGAAAACGAAAGAGATATTATTTCACCGGACTTATTTTTATCCCGCCTTTATTATTATTATTTTTAGAAATAACTGCAGGCACAAAAAACAGGCCTCAAACTCTCCCCTCCTCCTATTTCCCCCACAGAAACAGCCCTGCGAGGTGGACCAGCCCACCGTCACCCGGGTGGCTTTCACACCCAAGGTGGCACTAGAACTCCCAGCCTCCCGGTTTCAAGTTCTGAGCCGCCATCATCACACCCAAATGGACACCTTCCCATAGGACTTTCTGCCCACTGCCAGCCCAATGAGGCCTGAACTGGGGGGGGCAACAGGGGGGGCATTATTTCACGCCAGGACAAGCCGCTCACCTGGACGCTCGGCCCTCCGCCGGACACTTTGGAGACGTAACCCATAATGTATTTGGCCGCCACCGTCTTGCCAGCTCCGCTCTCCCCACTAGGAGGGGAAATGGTGGGGGGGGGAATCAAGCCTGGAATGAGCTTTCCATAGACATCCCCCCCCCAACTGCGCCCCCCCACAGTGAAGCCCCCAGCCTCACCTGATGATGACGCACTGGTTCTCCCCATCAATCAACATGTTGCGGTACATCTGATCCGCCAGGGCGTAGATGTGCGGAGGGTTTTCGTACTGGGCCTGTGTGAGACGGGCACAAAACACGTACGGGGCAGCCCTGAGCATCTCAGCACATCCCAGGGGCCGCCAGAGGTCATCTAGTCCAGCTTGGAGCCCCGACTGGAAACTTTGCTGTTTGGCGGCCCATAATCCCGGGGGAACATTCTGGGATTAGCAAAGACGCCCCCCCACCCCACCCCACATGGGTGCAAAGTGGGGCTTCTCCCCCCTCCCCCCCCCCCCCCCGCACGCACTCACCGCCCCCTGGTACATGTCAATCTCTCGGTCGGTGAAGTAGGGCAGCTGCTT